CATACGTCTAGCCAGATATTTCTCCTTACCTATTAATTCTCCTGGAAACCCTACATGCACCTTACACTCATCCTTATCTAAGGCTGAAGTCTCCCTTCTCTTTCCTTCATTCCTCATACATTAATATTCTCCTCTCTCCCCCTTTCTTAAACTCTTTTTAAACAATATATATTTTTATTGACTTTAGATAGAGAGAAAAGGAGAGGGAGTGAGAGAGAGAAAAACATTGATGTGTGAGAGAAATATTGATTGGTTGCCTCCTGCACACACCCTGACAGGGATTGTACCCACAACCTGGGCATGTGCCCTGATGAGGTATTGATCCAGCGACCTTTTGGTGTACAGGATGATGCTCAACCAACTGAGGCACACTGACCTGGACTAATCTGTATTTTCCCTCACACCTCCCAAATTCTCTATCTTGGTGAATGTGATAATTATCTTGTCAACTGTCAAAGATGCCTGTTCTCTTATACCTCCACATTGTACACGTACTGATTTCTCTGTCACTCCTTCACCCTACTTTTAAAGCTAATTCCTATTTGTCCTTTGGGCTCAAGCAGGCACCACTTCTGGGAAGCATTTCTTGACATGTCATACCCCAGGTTATAAATCTTTCCTAAATTAAAACACAGCACCTTGAGTATTTCTTTAGTATGGTACTTATCACACTGGGATTACAAATTCTATTTTCAAAACTCGGAACAGTCCCATGAAGGCAGGGAGCACATCTTATTCCTCCATAAATTTATGCTCCATATTGTTTTTATACACTCATGGTGTCAACTTCTGTTGAACCTAGTCCAATCAGGTCTTTATCTCACTCCCAAACAGCACATGATGACCAATGATCTTCATGTAGCCAAATCCAACCATCAATTGTCAGCCTGTGTGTTTAACTCTGTTGAGAACTCTCCTTTTAGAAACACTTTATTCACATGACTCCTGACATTCTCTTGTTTCACTGCTATTTCACCAATTGCTCTCCTTCAGTTTCCTTTGCTGGTTCCTCATCTCTCCAACCATTAAACACCAAGGTACCTTTCAGCTCAGTCCTCAGAACTTCCCTCTAGCTTAAGGTGACCAGATTTTAACATTGGTAAAGTGGGACACCATTGACCAGGGGGAGGAGGGGATTCTTGATTAAAAATTTGGTCTATATGGAACAACAAAAATTTTCATAGAATGCAAAAATAGTATTGTAATATATTTTTTAAAATTTCAACCTAAGTACAATTTACAAATATAATAAATAAATAAAAATTATGTATAGTCGTGTCACTTTCAAGGCCGGTGCTAGACTTTTTGCTGCCACTATAAAATATAAATAATTTGAGTACTGTCTGCTAAATTCAAGAAAATTTATGTATTTATGAAATAAATAAATTATTTACCTAGATCTGAATAGCTGATTTGTAATAACATCACTTGTTTAACTAGTTTACTAGCACGCAGTGTATCGACAAACTAGTGTATCGTCTGAGAGACAGTTACAAAATGTTTTCGTTGTTGCCAATCCCAAAAAATGCCATTGTTCATTAAGTCCAAACAATGGTGGTTGAATTCTAACAATTGATCAACAATGCGAACTTTGGTAAGCAGTTCTCGATAATCAGTTCTCAACAATTATTTGTTATTATTAAAGTTTAACATTATAAAATTAACAAAAATAATATAAAACTCATATCCTGGCTAAATATTGGGACTAGCGGGACGTCTAGATCATTGGTCACCTTACTCTAGCTATATTCCTTCGCTAGGTAATCTCTTGCATCTTTAAATACCACTGACATGTTGATATATATATATCTTCTCATCTCCATCCCAGATCTCTTCCAATTCTAAATTTGTACATCCAAGTTCCTATTTGACATCTCCCTTGAGATATCTTACTAAAAAATTTTATATTTAATAAACCCAAAGCTGAGCTTCTAATATTTCTCCTACTCTAAACCTGCTTTTACTATGGTCTTCCTCATTGCAATTAATGGCATTTTCCCAGATGTTTGGTCCAAAAACATTGTTGCCACTCTTGATTCTTCTTTTTCTCTTTACCTTCGGTATAAATCCTGAACACTTCTCATCACCTATGTGGCTACTACCCCAGTCCAATCCATTATCATATCTTTCCTAAATCACCATAATCCTATATAATAAAAGCCTAATATGCAAATTGATCTAACAGCAGAATGACCGGCAAAACGACTGGTCACTATGATGCACACTGACCACCAGGGTGCAGACGCTCAATGCAGGAGCTGCTCCCAGCCCACAGGCTCCAGGCCAACCAAGTGGGTGCCAACAGGGGGTCCCCCAATTGCTGAGGTAACTAGCAGCAGTGGAAGGCAGGGCAGGTGAGTGGGCAATGCCAGGCCAGCCAAGGCGAGTGCCAGTGGGGGCCTCCCGATTGCCCCACCAGTCACCCCACAGATGTCGAATCTAGGCCTATCGACCCTACTCATGCACGGATTTTTTTATTTTTTAAATATATTTTATTGATTTTTATATAGAGAGGAAGGGAGAGAGATAGAGAACCAGAAATGCTGATGAGAGAGAAACATCGACCAGCTGCCTCTTGCACACCCGCTACCGGGGATGTGCCTGCAACCAATGTACATGCCCCTGACCGGAATCGAACCTGGGACCTTTCAGTCCGCAGACCGACGCTCTACCACTGAGCCAAACCGGTTTCGGCTCATGCACGGATTTTGTGCACTGGGTCTCTAGTCTATATATATATAAAAGGCTTATATGCAAACTTGGGAGTTTGACCAGGAGACCAGGAGTTCAATCACTTGCTATGATGTGGACTGTCCACCAGGGGGTGGTACAGAATAAAGACAGGCCCCGGTTGGCAGCTGGAAGGCCCTTTTCGGCCAGGCTTAGAGACCCTACCCATGCATGAATTTCATGCACCAGACCTCTTAGTTGTTTTATAATTGGTTTCCATACTTCTGCCATTTTAGCGCTAGTCCCTCCTTTTTTTAAAATTTAAACCAGATCACATCACTCCTTTGCACACAAACACTCCATCAGGATTAAGGTCTAAATCCTCAGTCAGGCCTGTGTGGGTCAGTGGCTGAGCATCAACATGTGAACCAGGAGGTCACAGTTTAATTCCCCATCAGGGTACATGCCTGGGTTGTGGGCTCAATAACCAAGGTGGAGCATGCAGGAGAAAGCCAATCAATGATTCTCTCATCACTGATATTCTGGTACCTCTCTCCGTGTTCCTCTCTGAAATAAATAAAAATATTTTTTTAAAAGGAAAAGAAAGTCTAGGTCCTCACAATGGCCCTATATTGCCCTGCTTTCCCTATTACCCAAGCAAACAAAGGATGTTTCTGCCCCAGAGCATTTGCATGTGCTCTTATTTTTTTGCCTGAAACATTCTTCTCCTGGCTCAAATCTTCAGATTTCTGCTCAAATGTCTCCTTCTCAGAACCTTTCCTTGACCTCTCTATACTCTATCTCTCTTAGCTGCTCCATGTGTTTCATAGCTCTAATCATCAACTGACAAAATATCTTTATTTGTCTGTCTCTCACTAGAATGTAAATTAAACACCCTGGTGGCAGGGAGGTAGTCTGTATGAATGCCTAAAACACGTGTTGGCTCATAGTAGGTGCTCTTTGAATATTTGCTAAATGAATAGTAAAAGGAAAGAAGGACAGAGAATGGGGGGAAATAGCAGGCAAGGGGGAGAGAAGGAATAAAGAAAAGAAACCAGCATTTGAGCTCAGCTGGTGTGGCTCAATAGTTGAGCATCAACCAGCAGGTCACAGTTGGATTCCTGGTTGGGAGCGGGTCCCCATTGGGGGCATGCAGGAGGGAGCTGATTGATGATTCTCTCTCATCATTGATGTTTCCATCTCTCTCTCCCTCTCCCTTACTCTTTGAAATCAATAAAACAATAAATAAAACAATAAATAAATAAATAAATAAATAAATAAATAAATAGATGTTTTTAAAAAAACTAGCATCTAAGTGAAATGATGGTAGCTTTTTCTTACAATGCATCTGAGGAAATCCAATTTTTATTTTTTTATTTTGTTGATTTCAGAGAGGAAGGGAGAGGGAGAAAGATAGAAACATCAATGATGTGAGAGAATCATTGATTGACTGACTCTTGCATGCCTCCTACTGGGGATCGAGCCCACAACCCAGGCATGTGCCCTTGGCTGGAATCGAACCTGGGACCTTTCAGTCTGTAGGCTGACACTCTATCCATTGAGTCAAACCAGCTAGGGCCAATTTAGCATCCCCCCCACTCCCCTCTTTAGAGAGAACAAATTGACATAGGCAAGTTATATACTAATTTAAATAGGTTAGGTACTAAAAATTGCCAGGAGGATATTTTCATAATGCAGTTTCTTGTCCAAGTACATGAGGTACCCCTAACCCCCTACCCCTGCAGTAAGATTAAATGAGTAAAATTTCAAAAGAAATACACCATACAGCCCAGCTGGAAAGTTAGCTGGCAGGGAGAGTAGAGAATGGGTATGAGCAGAGAGCTTGGTCTGAGGCTTAAGCCTTTGATGGATCCTGCAGCTAAGAAACTTGCTAACTTCACTGGGTCAAGAAGTTTGTTTCAAACGATCCCAGAGGAGGACAATAGCTGCACAGCTGCTACCACTTAAATGCAGAGATACAGAAATTCTGGTTGTTTGATTTGGAAAAAAGGCCAAGCCTAGGAAGCTCTGTATCCTAATTTGAGCAGAAGTAAGAAGCCAGTTTAGTAACCTCAGGCAAAGCACTTGGCCTTCTGTCCTTCTCTCAACTCGGGAAAGAAAAAGTGGTTTGAAAGGAGTACATCTGTGAAAAAATGATTCCCTCCACCCAGGCCAAGTTCTCCTGAGCAAATGGCTCACAATTCAGACCAGCTGGCACAAGTGCCTGGCTCAGCTGATATGGAGCCCAAGCCCCACAGAGGCTGCAGGTGGCTGGCCCACACAGGCTCTGCTCTGAGGCCCCACATGCCCCGGGCCTTCTGAGCACTTACATTTCTCCTCTTTTCCGCGTTTGCTTCTTCAGCGGCTTTCTGGTACCTTCAGAGAAGGGGAGAGAAAAAAGAGAACATCCTCAAATTAAACTTATATTTTTACTATTTCAATCTTTAAGAAAATGACTTTTGCAAACTTATGTCTGACAGCAACTGCCTTTAACAACTCTATCAGAAGAAGCAGAGAATCAGAGTAGTCCTCACTTTCTGCTGTTCCTGTCAACTGCTCTGATATAACATACCCAAGCTGATGAGGCTGAATGCTGGGAAACAACTGGGCAGAGCAGAAAGTACCCACAAAGTCTGGGGTGTTAGTCCCAGTCTCATCACTTATTAACTATGATATCTGGCAAGTCACTTAACTCATCTAGGCCTCAGTTTCTTATCTAGAAAATGATTTTCTATAGCTACTTTCAGGGTTGCAGGGAGACTGAATGAGATCACATGTGTAAAACTACCTTGGGATTAGTCAAAGGATTTGGCGTTGCATTAATGGTAGAATGTACATTTCCTCCACATTAATGCATGTACATTTACACTTATATAAGCATATACCACACATATAGAGTGATAAATCCTTCAAAGAAGAAGAGTATTATTAAGTAACCTAATAAAGGGGACAAATTGAAAGGGCAGGGGAAGGGCTGTGTGTCTGTGTGTGTGTGTGTGTGTGTGTGTGTGTGTGTGGAAATGACCTCTAGCCTGAGATCTGAAGTTTGACCAGAAGGAATTAGCCAGGCAAAAAGAGGCAAGAAACTCATTCCAGACACAGAAAAATAGCAAACTCAAAGGTCCCAAGGCAAGAAAGCATTTCATGTATAGGTACACAAAGACTCCCAGTGTTGCTGAAGTGCACTGAGAAAGAGGAAGAGCAGGAGATGTCGCTTGGAAGCAGGGGCTTTTAAGGGTTTTTAAAAAACCCCAGGTAGCTCAGTTGTTCAGATTGTCATCCCAATATGCCAAGGTTGTGGATTCTATCTCTGGTCAGAACATATACAAGAAACAACCAGTGAATGCATAAATGAGTGGAACAACAAATAGATCTCTCTCTCTCTCACTCCCCCTCTCCTTTCCTCTTTCTAAAATCAATCATTGGGGGGGGGGGGACACTTTAAAAAATCCTAGGTACAATGAATGGTCATTGATCTAATTCATGTTTTTAACAGAGCTCTTTGGATACTATGTGGAGAAGGGACTGGAGGGGGCTGATAATGGAAGTAGCATTAGTGAGAGATAATGCTGGTTTGGCCCAGGGTGGTGGCGTTGGAGATAAAGAAAAGTGAATAGATTTGAGACATATTTCAGGGATAGAATCAGCAAGATTGGTGATGAGAGGTGGGGGAAAAAGAAGTCAAAGTGATCCCCAGGTTTCTGGCAGCTGGGTCAATGGAAGTACTATTTACTTTACTGGAATGGGGAATTCTGAAGGAGGAGTGAATGTGCGAATAGGGAAGATCAAGAGGTCAGTGTTAGTCATGTTAACTAAAACATCCATTTCATGGTGGCAGTAATTAGATACATGTGTGTAGAGCTCAGAAGAGAAATCTGAGCTAATACTATAAATTTAGGACTTGTTTGGCCACATATGTTATTTAAGCACAAGAGTATATGATATCACCTACAAAGTGTGTGTAGTGCAAGAAAAGTCCCAGAACTCAGTCCTGGAGACCCTAACATTAGCAGTCAGAAGGGGAAGAAGAGGTGATAAGAGACAATGGCAAGGAACAGGCAAAGAGGTAGGAGGAAAACCAGGAAACTGCCAGTGAGGTCAAGAGAAGAAAAACATGTGGGAAGGAAGAAGTGGTGAAAAGTCATGCAAGACAAAGGCTAACAAACATCTCAATTTAGCAACACAGTAGCCCTTGGTTACCCTGGCAATCTTCTTCCATTATCAATACAGCATAATTCATTTACCCATACTCCTTTTAATGGGCATTTGGATTGCTTCTAGTTTTCTACCATTGTAAATAGTGCTTTGATGAGTGTCCTTGTACCTATATCCCTCCCTCCTCACTTGTCTAATGCACATATGTCTGAGAGAGTACCTAAAAATCCAACTGCAGAAACACTGGATTATAGCTAAAAAGGCACTTAGAACCTGCTTTGAACTTGTGTTTCCACAACACTTGGTAATCATCTTCAGTATATTACAGCAATAATACAATATATGAAAGCCAGAGCCAATCAGCAAATGGATTTATGCTTAGTCAATTGTTCTCCAAGGAAAATATTTACACTGTGGGTAGTTGGGTAAATAAGTTCAGAAGTTCCCTTTACTGTCCTAACAACAACACAGATTTAAAGAAAGAAGATCAAATTAATTTTCATCTTCAGTCCTGACCTTTTAGCACTGAAGCATCTATATATTCTGATGGCTGTCTTGAATTGTTTTGAAACTCCCAACCAAATATCTCCCTTTTATTTGTAAGTAAGGACTTGCAAAATAGTAGATTCAAAGGAGACAGGTTCTATACCACTGCTTTCTTCCAAGCCGGGTTCTTGCTAATTTTACATTTTGTACCCTCAGAATGCTAAGAGATGTTAAGGCGTAATCCTTTTGAATTCGGTATTAAACCAGGAGTCTGGCCTCAGCCTTTCCTCAAAGGCACTTAGAGCAATTAGCATTATTCTGACACAAAATATAAAGGTTATTGATTTGAGGAAGGAGCTGAAGCATTTTGAAGATTTAAAGTTGAGGAGGAAATATTTGCAATGAGATTTCTATGATTAAAATATCATCCCTCTTCCCTGCCCAGATTTTTTTTTTCCTTTCAGTCTTTTCTTCTTCACATTCTGAATTTAATTTTGCAACTGCTCATTAATGCTCAGCTGTGAGGCAGGCAGCTGATGGAGGATGCTAAAATTATCTGGGGAGTAATAACAGTGTCTCAAACTTTTCTAAGGCCAGAAAACAAAGTTCCTGAGCCATGACTCTTACTTATAAGCCCTCAAATAGAGCAAAGGGAACACTGAGCCAAAAAGGGAAAATGGAAAGTCCCAAGTTTTAGTCAATGTATTTTCTTCTGGAACAATCTCACCACTAAAATATTACAAAGAAGCAAAGAGGTTAACCAGGAAGATCTAAGGGTCAATTTTCTCTCTCTCTTCTTCCCAAAGAAGAAAACTAAATATAAACCCTGTTCTTCCTTGGGACTATGGAGTAGCTAACAAGAGTGGGAAGAGTTGTGACATGGGGGAAGGCACTGTGGGAGGGGGAGGAATATGTGTGCTCTGTTCTGCCACTATGTAGGGTGTGGTCTTCAGTCATAGTTGCTGGACATCAAGTTCATATTCTGTCAGAGGAATGGGATGAAGGTTAGCCAGATTAGTAGTTTTTAAACTCTTTTCGCTGCAGAATACTGTTCAAATGACATCGTATTTAGAACCTAACATATAAAAGGGGTCAAAGCAGGACGACTAGGGTGAAAGGGCTCAGGCTCAGCTCTTTAGATCTTCCCATTTTCTCAGAATTGTCCCCTGAGATTCCTATGCAGAACTCAATTAAGAGAGTCTGAAAACTACGGAGCTAGATTCCCTTTAATTCTAAAAATGTATAAGTCAAACAGGAACCTTCTGCAAAGAAACCAAATTCCACCAAAATAGTCATATTTTAATTAAGCAAAGGATTATGTTTGAGTCAATGGCAAGTGAAATCCAAGCTAGCCATTCAAATGGACACATCAATAGGCCCTTCCTTCACTCAAATTCAGTTATTTATACAGTAGGGAAGTTTAGTAAAAGAAAACTCTGGAACTATAAAGTACTCATGAGACAAGCTCTGATGCTAGAAAAATTACTCTTATATACATATACATGTAAATGCATTGTTAACAATTAGAAAAACCAAACGGCCTTTCCTCTGCTCAACTTCCTGCTGATGGCTTCTACAGAGAACAGTCACCACCTGCCTTGCCGGGATTTTGCACTCCATAGCTCACAGGCCCCCAGGAAAAATGACATACTATGACAAAAGGCATGGAATCCCATTTTTGTCCGACCTGATTCATCACAAATTTACCAAGACAAGAATTCCAGCATTTTAGCTCTCACCTGGAATTCATGAAAAATATGATGGGGATCCACAGCACCCTCATAAACTACATATTGTTACCAGCATAAAAAGTACAAAATGATGTCCATGTTGGGGAAAATATGTATTAAAGATGCTTGAGTTAGAAAAAGCACATACTTCTTAAATTCATAAGAATATTCCTTAGTGAACCCAAAACTGAAAGTAGTTAATCATTTGACAAGAAGCAAGCCCCTGAAGGCTGTCACCAGGACTTCCAACAAAGGAGGACATGACTCACACGTTCCTCAAGAGCACTGGGGAATTAGTGGTGTCACGTCAAAAACCCTGTGGGCCAGGGAGCTATAAAGTCCTCATGCCAGAGCAGTTGCAGGTTAAAAATTTCACATTGCTCTGGGTGGGTGGTTCCACTGGGTGGAGCGTCAACCTGAATAGCAAAAATGCTGTATGTTTGATTCCCCATCAGGGCACATTCCTAGGTTGCGGGTTTGAACCCTGGTCTGGGGTGCACACAGGAGGCAATGGATCAATGTGTCTCTCTCACATTGATGTTTCTCTCTCCCCTACCCTTTCTCTCTCCCTAAAATCAATAAAAACTTATTCTCGATGAGGATTAAAAATAAAATATTAAGATTTGAGTTTTTATTTAAAGAGAGTGAGAAAGTGTTCTCATTAAAATATATTTTAAATGCTAGTCATTTTCACTGACACCAAAAAAATTCAAAGCCCAGCTAATTCTATGAACATCTGCCAGATTAAGTTTCCTCCAAATTTTATATTAATTTCTGATGAGAAACCTCCAGAGTGTACCTACAGTTTCTTGACTAGGCTTGTATAGGCTTTACTAATCCCAAACTCTATAGTAGACAGTGTTCCAAAAAATAAGAGAAAATCAGGTCACTAGGTGTTGGAAATAGACATTCATATATGCCTTGTAGAACACAGTGTTGCAGTCTGCTTTGGGAGCTTACAGTGAGTGAACCCCAACATCCTTAAGGAGTATCAGCATCATGTCT